GAGCTGTTGTTCAGCATCTTAGCTGTGGAGGGCAGTGTCACTGGCCCTCATATGTGGGATCCGAACTGGGGTCCTCTGGTGTCCCAAGCCAGCTCTTAACCAGAGCGCCACTCGGCTGGCCCAATACAATTTATGCATCAGAAAAAAAGGGAAGAAACATCTACTGCATGCTTATTATGGACCTCGTGAGCTACACCTACTGTTTATTTAATTCTCACAATAATCCTGTGAGGCTGATAAAATCTGTCCTGTAGATGGTTCAACAGGCTCAGAGGGAGAAGCTGGGCCAGGGTTCGCCAGGAGAGGGCAGGAGTCAGGCTTTAACTGGGGTGTGTCTTCTTTCTTTATCAGGCTGTCTCCAGAAATCTTATGTAACAAAAGCCTTAGTTTCCTTAATAGAAAATATTTGAGGTGAAAGATAATAAGTTGTTTAGCCAAAAATTTCCTTTGCAGTCAGGAGACAACACTAGCAAAGAATGTGAAACTAGTAAATAATATCTTCATTCAAAGATATAAACTTGTATTTCCTACCAGAGAATTTTGAACACAATAGTAAATTTAGTGATGATGATTGTTAACAGATATGTGGCTTCTATCAACTTTCATAAGCAACTGTTAAAATAGATCAACATTTTTGCCTCTGAAAATGTCTGCATAAGACACAGCCAATAATACAAAAAAATTCATGTGAAACCTTTACTAAAATGGGGATGGATGATATTTTAGTGTAACTCACAGGCAACCTTCCAATGGAAGGTACTTTCCCGCAGTGGATTGTTTTACATCTTTCTGCCACCTACAGTATTTGGCTGCAATTCATGAAATCTAAGTATAGCACATTACTTCAATTAGGCTACTAGTTTTGAACAGTCATTGTCCAATGTCGTGTTCTGATTAATCAGCTGTACTCTTCGAGTATTGTCAAAATCACATGTAACTATCATGAGACCAGTGAAGGGATCACTAGAACACAGATTTAAAGAAATGAGAAGCTTTTCTGCGGTACATGAGGGTAAAAAAAAAAGGTATATGTTAGACAGGCAAACATTTTTGCTTGCTAAATGGCCATTCTCAAATAGACAGCTAACCTGTTTTGTTTTGTTTTTTAAAAGACAATAAACATGTTTTAAAAGTTAAAATACATATATATTTCCTTATATTGATTTCTGGTTTTTCGTCAAGTTTTTGTGTTTTAATTAATACATGTACCAACAACTTATTCAGTGGAAGAAAGATCCAGAGGATTTATAAAGGAAATAGATATTCTCTGTCTTCAAGAAAGACGCCATGTAATTGGGAGACAATACACAGATCAAACATGTATAATAAAATAGACTGGACTTGATGGTACTGAAGACCATGAGCTAA